CGTGGACACCGCGCCCGGCCGAGCGGCTGCGGCGACGAAGGAGCGGGCTCTCGGCCGGCCGGGGCGGGGCGCCGCGACGATCTGGCCAGCGGCTGCGCCTCGCTCGGCCACTTGGGACTCGCGCTCCCGCCACGCCCACTCCGAGGGAGGTTTGGTAATCCGTGAGTGCTGACACCAGGGAGAGGGACATCAAGCCAAAGTCCAGCCCCTCCACGAGGCCAGTGACACAGCTTTTAAAATAACCTTTAATGAATAATCAGTCGTGGACTGTTTATGTGCTATGACAGAATATGGGAAGCCAGGTAACTTACTGAAGACCAGATTTATTTCTTACACGTGAGCCAGGAAGTGTAATTGGAGGAGTCCACGTTTGGTAAGGGTTTTCTTGCTCTGTCATCCTTTTGCGAAGAGGTAAATCGCATGCAAGAAAGGTTGGGGCAGCCCGAACTCAGCCTTTTGTGAGGACCAGGGAAACTAGCCCGTATCTGCTGAGAGCAGTCTACTCAGGAAGGCGGAGCCCTGGAGCCCTAATCCTTTTTGAAGGTCCTACCTCGCAACACTGGACCAGGGGCTAAGCCTCCGGCGTGTGCACTTCGAGGGACATGCTTAACCACAGGCAGCCTCCATACAAAAGGCACAAATCACACAGGTGCACAGTGCAGTGAGTTTCCAAACAAGCCATACGTACATACGTGCCTTTCCGTGTAACCAAGCACAAAAATCCCGAAATGTTGCTGCATTGGTAGGACTGTAGAATCCACTCTCAGTCCTGCTCCAAGCATTTCCTGCTCCCCAAAATGTATTTGTTAGTTCTACGTTACAGCAACCAACTGAATTGCAATTCACTTACAATGATAAAATGTTTTTTAGCTCACTGTTCTGGAGGGCCCCAGTCCAGGATTGGACTACTTCCGGTATTTCTGTTTTCCTCCCTCCTTTCTTCACTATGTCCCCAACCCTTATTAGGTTTTATTTTGAAGCAGGGTCTTGCTAAGTTGTCTGGGGTGGCTTCAAATTTGCCATCCTCCTGTCCCAGTCTCTCAAATTCTGGGAATGCCCATGTATGCTTCCACACTTGGTTTGGGCAGTCTCATTTCTTTAGGCCTCTGCTAAAGGTGACAGATGGCCACAGTGGGTCCTGCCAGAGCACATCATAAGCCAGAAAGCAGAACTGAAATACTGGTGTCCTCCAGTCCCCTTCAGGAGCACAGTTTCAGTGACCAAGGACCTGCCAGTAGGCCTCTCCAGGGTACCCCACCTCCCAGTAGTGTGGGGGGACGCTATGCATTTCGAACCAATGCAATACTTTGTTCTGATTCAAACATAGCAGGTTAATTTTTCATTGCACTTTATGGGAATGAATCGTGAGGTATGCTTTCTACAGTGCCTGTTTTCTTTCACTCAACACTATACTTGTGAGAATAATCAATATTGTTCAGTGTATTTGTAGATTGTTTTCTCATTGCTAAATACTAGCCTGTTTGTGCTGCTGCACAGTGCTTTCTGCCATTATATGATGCAGCCAGGGGGCCCCACTAGAGCTAATACCATAAAGAAATGCTGCTACAAGCCAATATGAAATAGATGAGTAT